CCTCCGGAATAAAGCCCTTTTCCGGAGGATCTCTTATTCCTACTTCAAAGTAAGAGATCCTCCGGAAAAGGGCTTTATTCCGGAGGATCGCGCCAGTCTAGACGCTTTTTTTCCGGCTTTTCCCCAAGCCGGAAAAAAAAGGATAGGCAAGGCTCCTGGAATGGCAGGGCTGCTGTGGATGATTTTAATAGGCCTTAGCTTTTGGGATCTGAGGAGGTGGGAACATGACCTCAAAAATCTGTTGCCATTGAAAATGCAAATAGAATCATTTCCGAGTGTTTAATAGGCCTTAGCTTTTGGGATCTGAGGAGGTGGGAACATGACCTCAAAAATCTGTTGCCATTGAAAATGCAAATAGAATCATTTCCGAGTGGAAAGTACTAGTGCTCGTGGGAGTACTTAAGACTCTCGTTAGCTTGGACTAGGTACAATCACGGGGAGACCCAAAGGCAAACGCTGGAAGAGTTAATGAAAGAAAGAGCACAGTGATTAATTTCTTTAATATCTGGGTAAACTCAGCTTTGCCAGAGATATTCATGTCTGGACACTGTCACTGCCTCCGCCCCACCAGCATGACTCATCGTGCTGTTTCCCCAGTGCTCAAGGAACTGCGGAGGGGGGCTGAAGGTCCGGGACGTTCACTGCGTTGACACCAGAGAGCAGCGGCTTCTGCGACCCTTTCATTGTCAAGCTGTTTTCTACAAGCCGCCAGTGCAGACTCCCTGCCAAACCAAGTCCTGCCTGGACTGGTATACCTCATCCTGGAGAGAGGTGAGGGGATTTCTAGAGAGAGATGGAGCATCCACTACATCTTCGGAGATGGGTCTGATCCAGACTCCACTAGAGTCTAGAGCATGGGTGGTGGCTGAAGGCCCAACTAGGAAAGGCAAGCCCAAGGCCCTCACCCCTTCTGCCTGTGACCATTCCCCTTCCGCCTCTGACCACACCCCCTCCCACTCTGACCACACCCCTTACACCTGAGGCCATGCCTCCTTCCACAACTTCCTCTCCCTGTGGAGTCAAGCCCAGCCCCCATCCTAGGTTATTACACCTGAGACCATGCCCCCTTCCACAACCTCCTCTCCCTGTGGAGTCAAGCCCAGCCCCCATCCTAGGTTACTGCCCCCAGCCCCAGCGAATAGCATAGCCCCATCCTTCCCAGCTGGCACCGTGGCCCCAGCCCTACTGGGCGGCTGAGAAACTAGGATGCAGCACCATAGCCCCAGCCCTCCCGGGCAGCCAGCAGAGAACGTAGACGTTGCCTACATTACCCACCACTCATGGTCTGGAGGGTCCTGACACAGATCTCTCCATAAAGAATAAATGAAGGGACCGAGGAACCAAGTTCTTTTCAATATGTTTTAACAGCCACTTGCAAATAACCAGATACTTTCAAGTGTCTATTAAATGATGAACTGCCCAACTCTGATGAAAACTGAGTTAACCTCAGACACGTGTTGAACGTTCTAATGGCAATTCCAGTAGGCAGCTGGAATTCCTTCTCTGCAAGTACATGCTGCTGGCATTTTACTTTTGCGTAGCCTCATAGTGCCGTGTGTAATGGCCATTATTTAAGACATATAGAATAGCACTAGACAGCTTGTAGGCCACATTCCCCACTCAGTTCAGCTTGTGTGATGCTCAGTGATGAGAAGTTAGTGGGGGTAATGTGTGCCCTTTGCTGTGGAAGAATCTGACCCTCTAAGTATTTGGACCTAGGAAATAGAGAGTATATATATGAAGTGGAACTGCTGTATTCTTACAAAGGTGTGTGTGCCTAAGAGCCAAGCTTCAAATCAATGTAGTATCCCCACTTCCACAAAAGAGCCACCTTGGGACAATCATTATAATCACAAAAAGGAGCGTTCAACACTGGAGGCAATTTTTGTAGGGCCTCTTCAGACTGTAATTCCATAAGATGTGAGTAAATGGGGTGGTTTTCTCTTCCCATTACTCCAGACTGATTCCGATTTGTTTCTCCTTAGTGCTCTGAGTCATGCGGCGGAGGGGAGCAGAAGCGTTTAGTGACGTGTCCAGAAATCGGACGGTGTGACGAAATGTTAAGGCCAAATAACACAAGACCCTGCAACACTCACCCATGTACCAAATGGGTAGTGGGATCATGGGGAGAGGTGAGCAAATGTTGAAGGAAAATAAGTGTCTTCTGCAGATGAATCTCTCTTGGGAATTAATCACGCCTGTTGGTTTTGGACAGCATTTTTCCAATCTCAGATAAGTAGACACCCTCTGTGCCATCTAGTCAGTGGCACTGGTTTCTACAATCAAGCCCACGCAATTGACAGTAAAGTTTATAAGGCCTTGTCTACACTGAAAACTTTTTGCTGCTTTAACTATCCTGGATAAGTTAAAGCAGCAAAAGCCCCCTAGGTCAGTGGTTTTCAAACTAGGAGGCATGACCCAGCACTGGGCTGTGGAATGTCGGGCGCTGGGTCTCGTTGCTGCAGGGGGATCAGGTGAGCAGTGGGGGGCTAAGGCAGCTCCCTGCCTGTCTTGGCACCGCAGACTGCGCTATGCCCCAGAAGCAGCCAGCAGCAGGCCCAGCTCGTGGGGGGGTTAGGAAGAGTGCACAGGGCTCCATGCACTGCCCCTTGACCTGCCCCTGCCCTGAGCACTAGCCCCTACTTCCATTGGCTGGGGACTTGCTGCTGGCTGCTTCCGGGGCACAGCATGGTCTGCAGTGCCAGGAGAGGCAGGAAACTGCCTTAGACCCCCACTGCACCACTGACCAGGAGCTGCTCAGGGTAAGTTCCTTCTGCCCCAGCCCTGATACGCCCCCTCCCCAAAGCCAAGAGCCACTCAAGGTAAGCCCCTCCTGCCCCAGTCCTGTCCCACTCCCCCTGGGCCAGAGCCCTCTCCTACAGCCCAAAGCTCTCATCCCCAGCCCTACCCCATAGCCCAAACTCCAGTCAAATTATGTTGGGTTGCAGTATCAACAATTTTCTTCCACTGGGTCGTGAGTTTGAAACCAACTGCTCTAGTATAGATGCATCAAAGTGTTTCTACAGTCTAGCTTACTTTGGTTTGGCAAAGGAAAACACATGGTGCTGGTGTAAATTACCTTATACCACTATAACCGTGTCCGTTTATAACAATATGGCCAAAAAAATCACACCTCCAACTTGACATAGTTACAGCGGTAAAACTTTTCAGCGCACACCAATGCTCAATCCAGGGCCCTGGGTCTGAGAAGTGAATAAAGCCGTATGATAAGTGACTCAGTTTCAATACATTATACGGAATATTGAAAATCTAAATGCACACCAAAGCATTTCTCATTGACCAGCTATGCTCAGCAAAGGCCCTCGGGGAATTCTATTTCTAACCAAGTCCTATTTTGACCAGATATGTTGTGAAAATGGGAGCAGCTATGAAGATAATAAGGGTTAATGGATGTGTGTTGCTAACTGTGCCCCATAGTCAAGCAAACAAGAAGCCTCCCGCCTCCTCTGTCAGCAGAATTAATAGAGGTCTGTTCGCTTAGCGGAAGCTAACCTTGTGCACAGCAGTGCCAGACAGACTTTGGGTTATGTACAGTACAGATGCCTTTGCCCTGGTCTACGCTAGGGCTTTATTTCGAAATAACCCTCCTTAGGTTGAATTAATAAGCGAAGCCACACCACCAAGCCTGTTATTTCGAAATAGATACTCCTGCTTTTTTCAAGGAATAACGCTAATTTTGAAATCGTTACATTGAAATAGCGGTTGTGTGGACGCTCTGGTGCCACTATTTCGAAATAACAACTCCCCAGAGTCATTCAAACTAATTACTCCCCAGTGCTTCCTGGGGCGCTAGGTCGAGGTAGCGTGTCCACATCAACAGAACCTGCCTCAGACTCATTTCAAGGCTTCCCCATAGTGAGGACACGGTATTTCAATTTTGCTATTTTGGGAGTTATTACATCGATTTTTAAAAAAGCGACAAAGAGTCCTGTAGCACCGTATAGACTAACAGATGTATTGGAGCATAAACTTTCATGGGCAAAGACCCTCTTCATCAAATGCATCTAGTGGAAATATCCAGAGGCAGGTATAAATATACAGGCCAGAATCAGGCTTGAGATAACGGGGTTAATTCAATCAGGGAGGATGAGGCCCATTTCTAGCAAGTGATCTGGAGGTGTGAATACCAAGAGAGGAGAAGCTCCTTTTGTAGTTAGCGAGCTATTCACAGTCTTTGTCTAATCCTGAGCTGGGGGTGTCAAACTTGCAGATGAACTGCAGCTCAGCAGTTTCTCTTTGGAGTCTGGTCTTGAAGTTTTTTTGCTGCAGGATGGCTACCTTTAGATCTGCTATTGTGTGTCCAGGGAGACGGAAGTGTTCTCCTACAGATGTTTGTATTATTGCCATTTGTAGGGGATCTACCCCCGGGGAGGGGCTTAAGTCCGCCCCCCCTTAGTTACCCAAGGTCGTTTGCAACCCAATGCGACTCAATTCACTCGGTTCCGCTCGCTTTGCTCGGCGGTTGGGGGGAAGGGGGTCCGGGCCCGCCCTCGCTCCGGACCCCGACCCAGGGCCCTAAGGTCAGGGATAGGCTCCCCACCTAGCGAGGGGGGTTGAAAACCCTAAACTCCCCCGCTCTCAGGGTCCGCGTCCCTGCCCTGGGCCACTTCTTCCCCCAGAACCAATAAGTTCACCTGGGCGTTCCCTCTGCTCCCACCCAGGGCCTCCAATACCGGCGTCTGCTCTCCGGTCCTTCGGGGGGAAGGGTCTCCTCAGCGTCCCCCCCTCTGGCCGGCCCACGGCGGCCTTTTAAATGGCCCGCCCGTCGCAGGCAGATGAC